TGTTTTATCACTTCCCTGTCACTGAGACACAATACTCGAGGATAGGTTATTTGGCTTTCAGTTCACAGGCAACTGGCTCCAGGGCAGGAAGGACATGGTGGAAAGGTGTGGGAGGAAAGCTTCTCAGTCATGGCAACCAGGAAGCAGAGAAGAGAGAAGAGAAGAAACAGGGAGGGAAAACGGCCCTTCTGGGTCCTATCACCTAGTGACCATCTGTCACAGCAAGGCCCCGCTCCAAATAGCAAGTCAGCTGTAACACCCTGCCATAGTCCTATCCTCTTCTGAAAGTGCTATCTCTTGAAGGACACCTAGATATACAGTCTAATGCCCATTAATCCAATTAATTATTAATCAGTTAATCATATGCATTGATAAATCTTGGTTTTAATAGGGATTAAATTTCAACATGAATTTCAGAAGGAGCCAACTGTATGCAAACCATAACAACTGAGAATCCAAAATCAAGGCGCTGGCAGATTTTGCATCTAGGGAGATGTTTGTTCTGGTATGCACACGGTCACCTTCTCACTACATTTGCACACTGTGGAGGAAGAGAGAGTGCTCTGGTCTCTTCATCTTATAAAAACCCAATCACGGGGCCAAGAGTGTGGCTCAGAGGCATAAGTGTCTGCCTGGCAAGCACAGGGTCCTGAGTTCAAGTCCTGATATCTCCCCCACAAAAAACCCAATCATACCACAGGGGCCCTTGTTGAAGCCAAATGCCATTTTAGTGTCCATACGTCCAAATACCATCCCACTGGATGTAAGAGCTTCACCATATGAATTTGGGGGGAGAAGAGAACATAGACATAGAGTCCACAACAATGTACAACTCTATCTTTAACAGAATTCATGCTAGGAGGGGTGGAGGGAGGGGACAGGAAGAAGAAGAAAAAAGATCAAGATACAATTGGTATACACACCAGTTCCCCATGAAGAATGTATTTTTTGTGTATCATAAATGTATACTAATAAACAGGGAAAAAGAAAGTTTCAGTTACACAGAAGGAATAACTACAAGGGATCCATTGTGCAGCTTGGCGGCTACAGGGAGTAACAATGTGTTCTAGAATTAAAAACCACTAAGAGTAGATTTTAAGAGTTTTTACCTCCAACTATTTGTACGAGGACAATCTGTAATCATCATGGGTGATTTCTTACTGTTTATTTTTTCTTTGAAAGTATGTATTATTTCTACCAGTTTTCTGTTTTGTTTAGTCTTTCTTTAAATAAATTTTTTTAAAAAGACACTATCATACCCAGTGCTGATCCTGGAGTGTCATGACATGAAACCCAGCAATACTATTATTCTTTGCTCAGAATGATTTTAGCCTGCTTTAGTTTGTTTAATCTCAACATAAATGAAGATATGCATAACTGCATGTATGTTTAAGTGTATAGGATTGATAACCATATTACTAAGTTTTTGTTGGACAGTTGAACAGAACTGTTCACAGTCTCGCTGTTTGAATTCCCACTTTATATGTTCCACTTTTGTATCTTGAACAACTATTTGTAAAAGGACAGTATGTAAACATTAACTAGTGATTTCTTACTCTTATTTTTTCTCTGAACGTATATATTATTTCTACCCATCTTCTGTTTTGTTTAGTCTTTCTTTAAATAAATTTTTTAAAAAGGGTTTTTACCTCCAAAAAATTATATGAAATAATATATGTGTTAAATGGCTCAATGTAATCATCCCCCAGGGTAGACATATATCAAAACATCATACTGGGGCTTCCGGGAGAACATGGTGGATACATAACAGCAGCTATGAAGGCTCTCTGAGTTAGCCAGCTTAGAATTCAGGAACGGTAGAGTGTGAGGAGTCCTAAGCAAGGGGAGACATACCCTGCCGACCCAGGAATGAACTAAGCTGAGAGAAACCAACTGGAAATGCAATCCCAGTGCTATGACTGGAACAGATAAAATCTCAGTGCCAAAGCTGGAACCACGCCTCTGGAAACCGCGATTTGAATTTCCTGCCACCACTGCTGCGTCTGAATTGGCACAGCAGGGATAGAAACGCATGAAAGCTCTGAGAGCGGGAATTGGCAAACGGAGTTGAGAGTGGGACTAGCGGGAAGCCCTGCATCGACCTGTGGTGAGAGGAACGGGGACCCCTCCATAGATAAGGAGGCTCCAACAGAGGACATTCTGGGACCAGGCAGACTAGCCAGAACAGGGCACTGCAGTGACTTTAGTCGCATATTCCCCTCTCGAGCAGGATTGGTGGGGAGCGCCTGACCTGGGTGAAGCCATGGACTGAGACCCAGTAGGCTAGCCCAAACCAGGTCCCAGCACCTGGCAGTGTACCCTAGCAGTGAAGCCTTCAGTAGACTGACCTGGAGGGGTGGGTCCAGCATACGCTGCCCTGGTCTGTGTCTCCCTAGTACACTGCAGTGGGCAGGAACACCTAGCCAGTGGATTCAAACAAACTATAACCCACAAAGAAAGAAACTGGGCCTCCTATATACACCTGAACGGAAGGAACAAAAAATATGAGAAAAGGAGGCAACAAGAAAGGGTCCTCAGCCCCCAGTCCTGAGAATACTAATCCAAGAAAGGTAAATGCAAAGGAGAATGAGGACAGAAAACATGCAATATCAGACACGGCACTAACAGACATAAAGCGATATCTCCGGAGCTTCATAGACAAGTTCAAAAGTGAAGTATTTAACAAAGTAAAGCAAGATATAAGTAGAATCATTAGACAAATGCTAAGCACCTCCCTAGAAAAAACAGATGGTGAAATAGAAGAACAGAAAAAAAAAGGGAGGAGAATTGTTTGATGGACAAAATAGAGAAAATGTAGAATACGTGAAGTAGGTTCAAAGAGATTACCAGGAAACTAAAAACTCTATTGAAAGCTGGCATAACAGCTTGAAAGAAACTAAGGACAGATTTGTCCTCTGAACTGGAGGACAGATTTGTAATGTGGGCGCATGAAAGGAAAAACTTCTGAAAAATAACAAGGAAAAAAACAGCAATAATACAAAGGCTAGATAAGAGGATCTATAATTTAAGAATCAAGAATGTAAAGGAAGAAGTAGGGACACAAACAAATGAACTACAAAAGCTATTCACAGAAATAATCCAGGAGAATTTCCCTAATTTAGCAAAAGGAAAAGATACTCAGAATTATGAGGCATACAGGACCCCAGCCACCTACAACCCAAACAGAACTACACCCAGGCATATAATAATCAAAATTCCAGAAATCCAATATAAGAACAGAATATTAAAAGCTGTGAGAGACAAAAAAAAAAAAAAAAACCCAGATCATTTACAAGGGAACACCCATCAGAATTACAGCAGACTTCTTGGCACAAACCATCAAATTACGAAGAGTGTGGGGCAAAATAATTCAAGCTTTGAAAGATAATAACCTCCAGCCAAGATTGATATATCCTGCACAACTATTCCTGGAAATTAATGAAGAAACAAGGTGCTTCCAGGATAAAGAGGAACGAGGGGAATTTGCAACCACCAGTTCAACCCTACAGAGAATACTGCAGGACATTCTAAAAAAGAAAAATACCAAGATTCCAGAAACAGTGGCAGAGAGGCCACAATGAATGGAGCAGAAAGCGAAATGAAGAAGACAAACTGACAACTAATGACAGAAAAAGAGCTCAACAGAAATGAGGCAGAGAAGGTTGGGTGGTTGCAACAGCTATTTTGGAGAAAACAAGACATCATAATAGCTAGTGCTGATTTAACATCATCTTGTTTTGAAGTTCCCATCAAGTTTTTTTCCTTCTGTCTCCATTGGTCTTAACATATTGTATCTTATTGAATTTTATTATATGTGATAATATAAACAAAAACTTTTATAGACAAGATTATACAGAAACCATTGTTCATTTTCTGTTAATTGGTTCTAAATACCCCATAATATTGTCATTCTCTTGAATGGTTTTACATTGCCTTAATGTGTTTGATGCTACAGTATACGAAGTCATACTCAAAGACTTCAAGGAAAGAGACACTATGGTAACTACTTTTATGTCAGAATATCTTGTGGTGAAACACTATTTTGCTTAAATGGTTATGTTCTGACCTGTGCTGTTTTGTTGTTATGTCCTCTTCTATTTCAATCTCCTTTTTTTATTATTTACTTTTTTATTTTTATCTTTTTAAGTAAGGGAAAAATAAATTTAAAACAGCAGGATATATTATAGTAACCCACTTTGATTTCCTATTAACTTGATTTGAAACCCTGTATTGCTCTCACCATCTTGTTTTGACTGATTTTCCTCTATTCTGTTTTGCTTGATAGTACCAAGTTTGAGAATATAGGTAACAACCGTGAAGACAATAAGATTCACTATGATGCCCATTCTGGTTGACTATTATCTTCTTTTGAAGTCTTATAATGTCTCCAATGTTTTGGTTTTATTGGTTTTGTTCTTTACTGTTTTGTTCAATTTTATTATAGCTGATGATATAGGCAATTCTTCTTAAGATAGCAAGAGGCATTATGGTAACCATTGTTGATCACCTTGTATTTTTTTTTACATTATGTATTATGTCCATCCTTTTGATTTGACTGACTCTTTCGTTATGTCACATTTGGTTTTATTCTCTTCAAAAAAAAGTAATAAGAACAGTGGGACTAATAAAACCCAAAATGTGTAATTGTCATTATAAAAAAATAGAGGAAAAGAAAGTGCTCTAAAGAATATAACTGCATGTATATTTAAGTGTATAAGATAGATAACCATATTACTGAGTTTTGTTGGATCATTGAACAGAACTGTTTGCAGTCTCACTGTTTGAATGTCTATTTTATATGCTTTAATTTTGTAACTTGAACAACTATTTCTAAGATGACAATATGTAATCTATTAACTAGCGATTTTCTACTGTTTATTTTTTCTGAAATTCTGTATAACTTGTACCCTTTTTCTGTTTTTTTTCTTTTTCTCCTTAAATTAAATTTTTTAAAAACCAAAAAAAAAAAACTATTGTACTGCACATCATAAATAAATAACTTTCATTTATCATTAAAGTCAGTTAAAATTTTTATTAAAGGGTTAAAAATGCCAACAATAAAGTTCATGAAATATGAAAATCAAGATTAAATGAACTATAATTTCAATGTAAATTATTCTGACACTGAGATGCAAATTGCGGCAAAAGCTGGAAATTATACCATAGCAAAATCCATTATGAAAAGGAGAGAACGTTCACATAAAAGTAACAAAGGTCTGTGAATTATTTGATAATCCAATTAGTGCAATATAGTGAATCACATAAATATGGTAGAAAAGCCTGATTTGACATTAAATACTGACACAGTCAAAGCTGATCTGACACAAGGTAACAAGAATGTCAGCCACAAATAGGTTGAAAAGTGTCAAATCAATAGACAATCAGACGTTGCACAAAAAGGAGATATTGATACCCTGACCCTTTACAGTATGAACGTGCAAACATTTGATGGAGATTTTCCCAGATCTGATCAAACAAATACCTAACGTTTTACATATTACTATTCACTAAAGAAATTTTTAAACCCAATAAAGAAATTAATTTGAACAGCCAAAAAAATTCACATTCAATTAGATATTCCCTCAAATAAAATTTTGCTATGCTTTTACTGAGATTTACCAAAATAAATCCACCATCACAAGAGAGTGAAATCCATAAAGCAAACCCTCCTACGAATGCCTAAGTAAGATTCCCGCCTGTTAGCAGTCATCATCAAGATAGTGCCTCGGGTTTACTGCCTTTCGCGCTGCCTTCGGGACATCACGATCCCAATTAATGCTAGGCCAGCCAGGATGCCTGCTCCCACAGATACTTTTGTGACTGCATCTTCGACCTGCAGCACAAGAGAAGAAAGATCACAGTCAACGTCAGGAATCCGACCCTGGGTGAGCATGCATGTGCGCCAGGAGCCTGCAGTTTAGAACACACCCACGTGGCCCCGTCCCCCTCACCCTCACCACAGGAGGAAGAAGCACTACGAAGGAGCCATGGTCCCAAGCGGTCAGGCCACTCAAGAAGAGGATGGTGTCTGGTGGAGAAAGAATGCATGGACCAACAGGCTGCAGGTGTGAAATACAAGCGATTCAAAGCGGGCAAAGGAGATCCACCCTACGGGTATTGAAAAGGCAAGAAATCCACAGCGGGTGACGGGAAAGGCCACAGGGCGCAGCCTGGATGTTCCAGGGCTGGGAGCTTACGGGGTATTGTGTAGTTCTCATGAGCTCACTTTCTTACAGAAAAAGACAAGAGCCTGAGCTAGAGGAGGGCTTTTCTATAGAGACAATAGGAAAAGAAGGACTGAACAGAAAGGCAAGTTAATGAGACACCTGCAGGAAGGGCTCCCAAAGAGAGACCAGGCAAGAAGAAACTAAGGAGACGAGAGCTGTTTCCTCTGAGTGCCGCTGCTTGCTGGACTTCTAACAGCTTGAAGCACAGCAGAAAACAGCGTCTCCCAGGTGGACCCTCGCTCCTCCCTAGAAACCTCTGAAGCGTTTTTAGATGCATACAAGGCAGCCCACCCCACCGCCAGCCCTGAGTGTAGACACGGATCTGTCCTGCATGGCTCCATCTCCATCCACAGAGTCAATGCTGGACACAAGAGAGCCGCTGCCACTGGACCCCAGGACCCAGAAAGCCTGGTAAGTTCTCGATTAATAATAGGGCTCTATATGGAGACCCTTGTTTCCAAAAAGGTATGGATTTTCCCTGCTTACCTCTCCCTTCCACCGTAGCCCTGCACCTTCCTTACAGAAGAAGAGCCACATCCTGCTGCACAGGCTAAGGGGTAAACATTCCTGGGCGGAAATGGGAGGATTCAAGAATGCACTCTCCTAAACCAGGGGCTCCCAGAACTAATGTGCCACCTGCCTGACATAGCTGTGACCTGAGAATCAGAAAGCTAACATGAGACGGCTGCAACAAAAATGGGCATCAACACATTGATTTGAACTGAAACAGTGTCATTTTTGTCTAGAAGAAATTGTCTTATATGGCTGATTGTTTTTACAGTATCACTTGGTTTGCCTTTTTAAATTACATGGATGATATTTTTGCTCACTGAATGAGCTAAATGTGTGACTCCAAGATTGTTAAGAAAATGTGTACTGAAAACATGGATGCAGTGTGCCAAAAATTTCATCCTTCACAACATTTTTACATTTAAGAATCTTTTTAGAAATTTGATGTCTCCTAAGAATGTACAACATTGTATTTTCAAAATTTTTAGGACTGGATTTGGCAAGCTCTGTCCCCTGTGTCAAATCTAGCGTGCCACCAATTTTTGCAAATAGAAAATTTTACTGGAACACAGCCTTGCCCGTTGGTTTCCACTCTGCCTGTGGCAGGGTAATGAGAGAAGCTACATGGATCAGGAAATCTGAGATATTTACAGTGTGATCCCGTGCAGAAAACAATTTGGCCCCACAAGACCAGAGTTTGCCTCCTCGCCCTCTGGTTCACAGCACTCTCCTCTCAGCCCGGTCACTGGGTTCACAGGTCCGGGTCAGTCAGAAGAATTAAACCAGTCTCAGCTGAGGTGCGGCCTCCTGTCCGGTTGCTCTGTCAGCCCCTTTGGACCAGAACACTCCTGGGTTCAAATCCCGCCTCCGTACCACAGCAGATGTGGATTAGAGTGGTGGGTGGCAAACCTATGGCACGTATGTGGCTGTGTCTTTCTTTAAAACAAAAGGTGTTCATGGAAAGACGTTTTTCCTAAACTAAAACCTCAGTGTTCAGGTTTAATCGCAGGTAAGGTACTTCTCAATGAAGAAGTGGGCTTGGGGTTGCCGTTGGGCTCTCGGTCTATAAAAGGTTTGCCATCACTGGGCTAGAGGCTCAATACCTGATCAAATGAGCTGGGGCAGATGACCCTAATACTCTGAGCCTCAGTTTCCCCATCTATGACATGGAGATGATAAAACACACTTCTAAGGCTGTGGAGAGCCACCTCTGGGCCAGAGAGCAGAGAGGACTCAGCAACAGGAGTGACTGTCACTTCCGGGTCTCACTTCCCTAGCCGTCACGTCTGTGATGTGCATTGCCTTCTTGCCCAGGTGTTTCTCCACACTGGTCCCCACCTCAAATGTGGCAGGGATCCTGTCTCTGATATTTTGTCTTGTCTGTGTCCCTGTCACCATTCTAGTCCAATCACAGTGGGTGCCCAGCCACTGACAGCTGAGGAGATGGCCTGGTTCCAGGGAAGCGGACACAGGCTGGACACGTACCTGTTCGCAGATAGGAACTCCATAGCGCAACTGCGTCACAAAATGCTCACAATTCTTGCTGGTCAGGGAATACGGCAGCTCCTTCCCCTCCAGCTTCAGGGCCTGCTTGATGACTTTGGTGACAGGTAGCGGTGGATATTTGTCATCGTATTTGTTGTTGACCCGGTAGCCATCGGTCCCGGCCACTTGGGACAGCAACTCCTTCTTCACGATGGCTCTGTCAGCCACGACAGACATGATGCTGCAAAAACCAGCTCCTGCAAATTCACCTGTGGGGACAGCAAGTTCAGAGCCAGGCCTGACCCAGACAGCCTCGTCACCCTTAGCACCATCAGCAAGGTTGAACTACGGAAGAGACTGCCCATCCTGCCAAGTTCAAGCCAAGCCCAAGAACTTTGGAAAGGTCACCTAGGGTCCCTAGGCTCCGCTTTCCCCATATCTAACATGAAAGATGTGAGTTCCGAAGAGTCACATGAGTTCAAATATCCCTGAAGAAGTCAGCAGCTGCGACAGAATGATGCAGGACAGAGAAGGCAGAAGACAGTCAAGTCCTAGTTTCCGTTCTCCTTCTAGCTTGTGCCTGTAAAAGTCATTCAACCTCCCTGGCTGGCAGTAAGGAGCTCCAGCAGATGAGGGTGGCATTTTAAAATTGTAAGAAAGCAACCTGCTAATCAAGATAGAGATGTGACATGGGACTCTAGGACCCCAGGTCCTAGCCCTGATCCATTCACAAAACATCTTCTGCGAGTCCCTTCCCCTGGAGCCTGGTACTTTTTGTGATGCCATCATAACGAACAACCTTAGCTTTTATGCTATATAGTAATATACAAAACTTTATGCACTTTTGCTTATAATTACACATCAGTTTAGCAGCAAACTGATGACAGACACTGTTTTGTTGAAAAGGTCTTGCATTTAAAAGAAAAATCTGTAAAACCCAAGAACCAGACCACAAGCCATACCAGATTTTTATGAAAACAATTTATATTGGGGGGGGATCTCATTTTGAAACACAGCATACTTGAAATAATCTAAAAATGGTATTATAACTCAGAATCTGTAAGACAGGAAATATAAGTGCATATACTTGTATGTTTTAAATATTTTTCATAATTGAAATTCTTTTATATTTACAACAGTAAAAACAGGAAATACTGAAAATAGCAGGACTCTAGCCCTTGTTTCTTTTTCTATTAATAATGAATTCCAATAGCCTGAGTAGAAATTTTCCAATTTTTCTTTTGGTAAAATTATATTCTTGCTGGAGACTTGTTCTTATCATTTACAGATTAAAGAATCCAGGCTGGGAACAGCCAGACCCCAGCCTTTCCCCTTGAGTCAGTGCCACTCACAGACTGCAGGGGAGAGAACAAGGCCACACCAGGAAGCAAGCCCTGCCTGGGAACCAGCGCCATGTGCGGGCCACCGCCAGAGTGGGACAGTGACACTCCATTCCCTTTTGTGAAGTGTGCGGGCTGACAAACAAGAAGTGCCAACCCCTCCCACCCTAATAAGCAACCGGCTGATCCAGAGAAACACAAGCTGTGATGATAGCTCTGGAGGTGAAATCCAATTGGATGCCTGTGGTGCTGTGGTTCTTTACTAACATTGCCGGTCTAGAGCCAGTGGGTTCAGAGGATATCAGTACGCAGATCATGGGTTCAGAGGATATCAGTACGCAGTGTGGCATCTGGGGGGATCCCCTTCTGAGGGCTGCAGCCATTGTTGATTCCCTATAGTCTTGTTTTGGAAGTACTATATTGTTTCCATTGTTTTGTTGGGTTGGGTTTTATTCTCTTTGGTTTTGTTTGATTATATTAAATCCAATGGCAGGAGCAGCTATTTCAAAGGTAGCAAGACATACCATGGTAGCCATTTTGAATTTGCTATTAGCTTGTTTTGAAGTCCTTTATTGCATTCATTGTTTTGTTTTATGGTTTCTCTTCTGTTCAGTTTGATTTTTACTATATCTGAAGTTATCTGCAGCTATTTTGAAGACAGCAAAAGGCATCATGGTAACTATTATTGATTTTGTAATGTTTTGAAGTCCTATATCACGTTCACTGGTTTGTTTTGATTGGTTTTATTTTCCTTGGTTTTATCTTCTTTAAAATAAATAAATAAGACCTAGGCTAGATGATAGCCAAAGCTTCCAATTCTAAGTCGTCAGAATTGCCTTTAAAGGGGACTCTATCTTTTTGGAATGAGAGACAGTAGCCAAGTAATGGTGTCAAAGAGGGACCCACTCTCAGATCTTGTGAACACATAGCCATCAGCCTCAGTCTTCAGACAGCTGGGGATGGTGACACAAGGGGACACAGGCTAAGGAAACATCTGGTCACAATGGACAACTCCAGAGATGCCCACAGAGTGCCTGTCCCTGAAACCTCACATAAACCCCACAGATTCCACTACAGGCATCCCTGGGGACAGGGTCTTCAGCCTTGCTGTCCAGGAGAAGTCACTCCGGCCCTCTGGAAGTTACCCTCATCAATACTTCGTGCCAAGGAGTCTGCATTAGGTGCTTTGCTATGTGGAATCCAAGGATCCACACTTGGGGACAGCTTGGAGAAGTCCCCTGCTGAGACTCCCCAACAGTCTCTCTGGGAGCAACTCCAGCTATGGGTTCAGCTGGACAGGACGTGAGGGAACCCCGCTTCTTCTGTATGGTAGTGATGGTTGCATGATTACGTACATTTGTCAAAACTTACAGAAAGGCATTCTAAAAAGGGTTAGTTTTACTATTTGTAAATTATTCCTAAGTTTAATTTTCAAAACTAAAATTAGTTATGCATATGTATATGCACGTAGATGTTAGTGTGTGTTTGTGTGTGTGTGTGTGTGTGTGTGCGCGCGATGTATACGTGTGTGTATTTACTCTTGGACCAAAAACACCTAAACCACAAAATCAAAACAAAACTGTCTCCATGGGACCTCCTGTAATTACAGCTATTCAAGAGGTTGAAGCAGGAGGATCACAAACTTGCAGCCAGCCTGGACATCTTAGTGAGGTCCTGTGTCAAATATTTTAAGATAAAAATGACTGAGGTCTAGCTCAGTACTCCTTGGGCTCAATTCCCAATAAAACACACACCCAAACTGTCTGAATTTCCCCAAAATGCCAGCTGTTACCATAGACAAAATTGTAATTGCTTTCACTTCAACATGACATTGTAACCTCCCAGCCAATCAGCTGCAAATTGGTAGCTCCCTCAGGGCCCCGCCTTGCAGGAGTGGAAGTCACTGGACGCCAGTCACCGTAACAGAGTACTCCTTCCTTCAGGCTTTAAAAACTATACTGTAACTTCTATGAGCAAGTTTCCTGCCATTTTCAGCTTAAAGTCTCCCAGCTTTGCAATTCTTTTGTATGTGCAACGATCCTTTTAAATCTCCCTAGCTTGATAGGGTTTTACTTTCTGACAGTTTCTGGTGTTAGAAATGTTGTAACCTATATTTTAAAAAACCCTCATAAGTCTCTCCGGAGGCAAGAGAAAGATCAAAGGTAACGCTAAGAACAGAACAGGATGTCTTCCTAATCTAAACTTGCTTGTTAGCCCACCTGAACTTTGTTCTTCCTAACCACCGTGTTCCTGTTCTGTAGTGCGCCACAAACCCCACCCCCCTGGGTTGTCAGACCAGCAGCTGTTTGCGGTTTTACAGGATAAAAATCCTGCTCTTTAGCTATTAGGCACGCAGTCTTCCATATTGGCTACTGGAAGCTGCGTCGCCAGGCCTGTGCTTTAATAAATAATTTTTTCCTTTCCAGATTATTTACTCTGGCTCCTTCATACCTCAGGAAGCAGGGGGCCACCACAAGACACCGGATCCAAATGTAGCTTTTTGCTGAGCCCAGAGCTCAGTGAGAACCCAGAGGCCACCACCCATCAGGTCCACTGCCTCACTGATTTGTGTGTGTGCTGGGGATCAAACTCACGACCTCACGCTTGCCAGGCAGGTGCTTATGGCATTGAGCTAAATCCCCAGTCTCCCTGATTTCTTACTGGCCCCAGAGTTCCAGGGTAAATCTCTCTTAGATCCAAGTTCCACTCCTTTTACATTTTAAGCTCTCCAGATGTATTGTACATATCTGTTTTGCTGAAGCTTCTCAGTAAGTCAAATTTTTGACAGTATGAGGGGAAACCTGTGATTCTGTGTGTTTCTTAACATTGGCAGAGTGACAGGGCTCACTTAGAGATCTCTGATAAGGAATCTAAAGTCAAAGATGGGTGATATCCAGTCTAAAACTCTTTCCCTACCTCCTCAAATGAAAACTATGACCTAGGGTTCTCTGATTTATCTCAATTTGTTCATACGATAGTGGGTACAGAAGATGCTCAAAAATAATAATTGCAGTGATCTAACTAGAGACTTTGGGGATACTATCACATATGCCTCTGAATAGGGAATAAAAAGGACCAAAAAAATAAGACAGGAGTTAATAGAAGTTATTCTCAAAATATTTCTCATGAGACTAGACCAAGTCATTATCCAATGTGATAAACAGAAACAGGATAAATCCACTTAGGATTTCTCAATCTTCCTAGAAGAAATTTTCAAGCAAGTCTCACTTTAAGGGGTAGGAAGATGAATGGCATGTTACCCCTTCATTTGTTTGTCTGTGTTTGAGACAGGGTCTCACTATGCAGTTCAGGCTGGCCTTGAGCTCACTTTGTAGCCCAGGCTGGTCTCAAACTTGTAATGATCCTCCTGCCTCAGCCTCCCAAGTGCTGGGATTATAGGCGTGTGCCACCACGCCCTGCTTGTCAGTGCATTTTGTTAATGGACAATACACAAAAATAAGGGACTTATTAAAGAAATATAAAATGGAATTGGAGGCAACTTCCCTAACAGTACTATATTACCGGATGGAATATTTTGAGAGAAATTAAAAGAGAAACTATCAGACAAATGAAACAATGGCCCTATAATTATAGCAGTTACAAGGACTTTGGCCTAATTTAAAGAAATCCATTCCTGCCACGTTGTCTGTTTGTTGGATACTTTGTCCACCGATATTCCTCCACATCTTTTTTTTTTCTTTTTGAAGCAGGGTTTCAGGTGATCTTGACCTCATTACATAACCCAGGCGGACCTCAAAATCACAGCAATCTTTCTGCTTCAGCCTCCCAAGTGCTGGGATTACAGGCACAAACCGCTGAGTATGGCTATTTCTCCAACTCTTGAAAAAAGTTTCAGTGATACTTTAAATTATTTTCAAGAAATATAATCTGAAACTGAGGGTAGTGAATCTCAGCACTCTGGGATATCAAGAAGAACGATCACAAGTTGAGTCCTACCTGGACAACTTAGCAGAACTTTATCTCAAAAAAATACTACTAATAAAATAATAATTATATTATAATAATAGCAATAATAATAAAGAGCTATGGATATCAGTCAGTGCAAAGTCACAAGTACCAAAAAAGTAAAAGGGGAAGGAAAGGGAGAGAAGAAAACAGGACAGAAAAACACAGTCATACCTAAGCAGTCTGGCTTCAGCCGTAGTACACAACAAAGGAGTTCTTTTTGTTTGTTTGGTTGGTTGGTTTTTTGTCTTTTTGAGACAAAGTCTCTATATACAGTTCAGGCTGGCCTTGAGCTCACTTTGTAGCCCCAGCTGGTCTTGAGCTCACCATGATCCTCCTGCCTCAGCCTCCCAAGTGCTGGGATTATAGGTGTGCACCACCACATTCGGCTCAGCAAAAGAGTTCTTGATACTCTGACTTCTCAACAGGAAGAGTCTGTGAGCTTCAACGGAACAAGACTCCTTCTAGGTCAATAAATGAGGACTTCTAGTCCAAAATCTTAAAAGTCTACAGGATAGAATCCAGATACGCCAAGTAATCAAAGAGACACAATCAGTTGACCTATTTAGGTGGTTACCTAAATGCTGGCTTTTGGACATTTCAGCCGTGGGATATTTTTGAAACAGTACTTCTGTTTGTCATATGGAAAAATGTTCCTTAGATGTGGCATATTCTCAAGAGATTTATACTCAAACATCAGACAGTATCTATGAGAATTCAGCAATAAAAGCTACACTAGCTCCCATAGTCCGAAAGATCTGACAATTCTGGGCATTTTGCAGTCAAGCTGAACATGACAAACATATGGTGACCAGGATAATGCCTGTCCATCAAGTAGGTAATGACCACATTGTTGGTCTAATTGAGAGAACGCAAAAAAAAATCACTCAACAGTAACAAAGGTCACAGTTTGACTACAAAACCCAGTCAAACTGGAAAGCCAGCTGATTTCCTGGAAAGGTTACCTCCACCCAGAAACAAAATGGCACTTCCTCAGGTCCACAGAGACCTAATTTCCCCTCACCAGCTGGCTATACGCAAGGCAGTTCTCACAGCAGCCTACCAAGGCCATCACAACAGGAAGAAATACACATCTTTGAGCCTCACCAACTGTGCTGTAAGAACTGCCCACCCTGAAATGCCTGAAAGGGTTTTGGCCCAGGCTGGATACTGTAGCCGGTAAAGCCAGGAAGCTCCTATCTCCCCCACTCTTAGGAATTGCCTCTGGCGCCAAACTAAGACCAATGGGCTACCTGTGCATCCCTAATGCCCCCTTAGGTTCCACCCCAGGCCGAGGCTACTTATGTGCCTCACTCCACGTGTTCCACAGAGAGATCGCCGGCCCCAGGGTGGAGATGCCATGCCCCAGGGGCTCGGGGGTGTCTCTCCCCGCATTCCCAAAATAAAGGTTATTTATATTTCATACTTCTTATCTTTTCAGCTGCCGCTGGTCCTCCTTTTCCTCCCCCCTACAGTTCTATCACTGCCTGCTATTTTTTTGGTTCAAGGACTCTGGGTTTGTGAGCTGTTGCATGAACAGAAAAAAATACTGCACATTTGCCACGTGTTGTACACTAGCAAAAAGAGCTTCGTTATATTTGTATTATACCAAAATACCTGTAATATAGTCTACTGTTCTATATGCGTGTTTCCCTCTGGGTGACCTAATTGATATGTTAATCAATGCTCTCCTCTGTAAAGAATTGTAAAACCTAACCTAATTGATATGTTAACCATTGTTGCCCTCTACAAATAACAGATGTGGTGCTAAAATAAGGTAACAAAAGATTGTTAATTACTGCTAGACTACTCTATCCTCTGCTAAGGAAAACAAAGGTCTTCCTCATTAACAGATTTCCTGATCCATGCCCATACCCCTTACTTTGTGTACATAAAGGTTGCAAGTATGGGGGAGCGACACACAGTCTTTGCAATCTCCAAATGCACTGTGTCACTGGGCCCAGGATAAAATAAATCAGCACTGCTTTTTAAAATGTTTTTGCTCCATTTTTTGAACTCAAGTTTGGGGGCTTGTTTGTGGATTACAAGACCATGCAACTTCTTTTAGTGGGAGCATCCCATTGTGTGCCAATGGTGTCTATCTGCTTGATTTCCCTAACTCCTGCTGTTGTGAAGTTGACAGTTCCCCCAGGTTTCAGCTTTGGCTTTAATGTGATGTCTCAAACCAAAGACATTTGCTTCAGCACCAGGCCACTTTCCTCCAGCACTGCGCACTGCCTTGTGATCTCCTCCAACCTGAAAGATCAATCTACTGAGCCCTGCGCTTCCCAGAACATGGCTCAGCTTAGCAAGGGAAAGCCACATGCTCAAGCCCCATGGTCAGTGAGCTGTGGGTCCCCAACTGGTTCTCTCGAGTGTGGCAGCCTGTACTCCTATCACTGCACTTCACTTCCTGTTCAAATATTTGAAGGTAGTCACACTTCTTACTATTGTTTGTGCCTCCAGGACAATAAAGATATGCTGCAGGGCTTTGGACCTGTGGGTAATGCAAATCAGCTACAAGGAATGCAGATTACTGAGAGGGAGGCAGAGCAGCTAACACCCCTATCAGATTGGTTCAGTAAATATTTACTGAGTGCCTGCGTAGCCAGGCAGAGCCATGGCCAGCACTGATCTCTGCCTCTGTTCCTACTCTCAGTCTCCAGCCCGATGTGTAACAAGAAAGCCCATCTTTACTTGGGGGAGCCAGGTGAATCACATAACCGTCTCCCACGTAGATAGCCCAGTGAGCGTAGATGGTCTGAGTGCAGATTTTGCGAGGAATCTCAATCAGGTCTCCAGGTTTTGGTGTGCACTGCAAGAGAAAAACCAGAGACAGATGGATATTAGCTTTTGCAGGGAAAACTCTAGAACCTGACTGGCAAGGGTCCTGGAGCCACCTATAGGTTTTGACCTTTCATCCTGACTTTGCAGGAAATCACAGAGGACCTCTCCATTTACTAGGATTGTAAAACCAAAAAGGGGCTTGGGGAACAAGGAGAAGATGGAGAGGGCATCGCCAAGGGACTGAAGCAGGGGTGTGTGGCACGGGAGTGTGGTGGGATAATGTGGGCAGCTGGGCTGAGGGCACATTCCATGCATGAAGCAGATTTCTGCCAGCAAGTGACCATATGATTCCCAAGGAGCCCTAAATAGCTCATTAGGGGCCCTGGCCGTGTCCCTAGGCCTGAATGATTCTTAGGAGTTACAAAGCTCCAACTTGCAAAGCCCAGCCTGCTGATGCTGCTGAATGCTGACCCAACTCCTTCATTTCCCCCTGGAGTAAAAACTGTCATTAGCCTCCTTAACAGATGAGAACATTGAAGCTCAGGAAGCTTCAATAAGTTGCCTAGAGAACAGAAGAGCAAGATAGAGACCTGAGCTTGAGTGTTTCTGTAGAGAAAGGAAGCTTGTAGACTGAGAAAAGATAGGCTTGATTAAAAACTAACGGGAAGGGGCTGGGGATTTAGCTCAGTGGCATAAGCACCTGCCTTGCAAGCAGGCAGTCGTGAATTCAATCCCTGGTACCAATAAAAAGAAAGAAAGAAAAAAAAAACTAATGGGAAATCTTACTGCGAGCATCTTCTGTCTCTGCAGTTAGAGTAATTAGACAAAAGAGAGAGACTACTACCCAGGTGCCAGGTAGCACAGTTACCTTGGGAATTCATCCAAAAAGAAAAAAACGCAAAGCAAGGCCGGGTATGATGACTAGCGCCTGTAATCCCAGCACTCGGGAGGCTGAGGCAGGAAGATTGCTAAGAGTTCAAGGCGAGCCAGGGCTACAAAGTAAATTCAAGGCCAGCCTGAACTATATAGTGAAACCCTGCCTCAAAAAGACCAAAACAAACAAACCCAGAGGCCAGGGATTTAGCTCAGCAGCATAAGCATCTGCCGGGCAAGCGCACAGTCATAAATTCAATCCCCAGTACAAAAAAAAACATGAAAGACCAGGGAAACCAGTCCCCTCATCCACCTCTGATAAAATACAAAGGAGATAAGGGAGCAGCCCCCTGAGGACTCTCTCACGCACACCTACACATACATCCTCACGTGCGTCTGTCTTCTCACTTCAGCTCACTACAGCTGCACCAGGTACACACAAGTCCCCCTTTACACGGCCATTGACTCTGCCTTGCCCCCACTTATCTACCGCAAAGGGCGGCCAGAAAGAATGTGGACAGAGGTGCTCAGGTTAGGTGGGCAGATTGCCAGAGACCCAACTGGATGGTGCCACTCTCCAGGGGCCCGAGGAATGGGGATGTGAGAAATCACCAGTCCTACATAAAAAGGAGCTGAAGACAAAACCCCACGGGTGTTCACTTCTGGGGCTCCCTGCTCCCCTCAGAGTAGCTGTCCCTCCTCTTTTTCTCCATCTTTGTCCAAATCAAGCATGTTTTCTTATTTTAAACTCTGCCTCTTTAATTCATTACTGAATCTGAGAGTTTACAATCCCAATAGCTGAGCATGGTGAGAGCAATGGTGTGGCGTGGCATGGTGTGGTATGGTGTGTCGTAGGGTGGCCTGGTGTGCTACACACCCCTCGCCCGGATGTGACATTCCCAGCACACAAGCCCTTAACAATCCCAGCAAAAGCCGGGGAAGCTAAAGTATGGGTTCCAGGATCAAATGGCAGGGTGAGGATGCTCTTCTGGGTTCTATTTCTGGAACACTCTGAGGCCAGCCGGTACCAATCCCCACCCCCAAGTCAGTGCAGCCAGGTCACATGGGGTCAGTCTGTCCTGGCAAGGGTGTTGAGCAACTGCTGAGAGCTGGGCAGATGCAACCTGGAAAGCCGGGTGCTGGGGTTGACATGCGTGAGGGAAGAGCCTTTGACGGCAAGAATCGAGGCAGCCTGACCAAAGATCTGAACCGCTAAAAGAACGCCAGCAGGGAGGTGGGGGTAGAACCCAGAGTTAGAGCTCCTGATTAGCATGTTCCAGGCCCTGGTGTCAATCCCTAGCACCACAGCACAAAGGAAAAAAGAAGAGAGCAAGAGAGAGAGAGACAGAGAGAAGACAGAACTGAATATAGGCGAAAGCACATCAGATAGGCTGGTCTAGAAATGAAAAGACCCAAGCCTATTCTAGATGAACTGAACTCAGGGAACCCGACTAAACAACTACAATAAAACCCAAAGCCACAGACCAAATGCCTACAAAAACATCTGGCAGGAAACACAACACGCCCTCTGCAGAGACACACAGCCTTGCTTTTGCTTTTGGTTTCTTAAACAAGGTGAAGGTAGTCTCAGATTACTTGTGCAATTAAAGACACAGTTTTTTAAAGCAAAGGATCATGTATCCAATCTGCCCTGTTCTCTTGGGCAATCCCCTCTCTGAAGGTAACCGATACCTCCCCCCAGCATCTGCAGGGTGGCGAGAGAGGAGAGTTACCCCTACTTCCTATGGTTATTTAGTAACAGCCTGGCTCCATTAAACAAAACTCTTCTGAAAGGCCCTGGGATGCAGCCAAGAGGCAGGAAATGTATTTATTATCAAGTGTGAAGGAAAAATGAGCAGGGAAAGGGGGATAGAAGAAAGGAAGGGTGGGGCTGGGGATTTAGCTCAGCGGCATAAGCGCCGGCCTTGCAAGCAGGCAGGCGTGAGTTCGATCCCCAGTACCAATATAAAATTAAAAAAAAAAAAAAAAAAAGGAAAAAGACAAAAAAAAAAGAAAAAGAAAGGAAGGGGCTGGTGCCACCTGAGGGCACCATGCCCAGACCTCCTTTCAGAGTCTGTGCCACTCACCACTCAGAGTGTAGCCCAGGGGGTGCCTGGGCCCAGGGAGGAGACTACCCCCCTGAACTGACCACTGCTGCCCTTCAGGAGGCCCAGAGGAGCCACCGTGCCGGGCTGGAGGAGGGCTTGGCAAAGTGCAAACCCGACCCAGGACAAGTTGCTCCTAGGTCTCCGCAGAACCAAACTGCATGCAGTAGCTGAGGCAGAGAAGTGTCCGGGCTCTTGGCCCAGCCTCTGAGTTCTTCCCTGGCTGAGTCTGGGCTGGCCAGGCAGGCAGACCTCAGGCCTCTCCCTTTTCCCCAGGACACTGGAGCCACGGACCAACAAGAGAAAAACACACCACCTCTTTGCACTTTCCAAATAAAAGCACCCAAACCCCAAACCCTTGCTGGGGACTCACCCTGCGGCGAGACATCCTTCTGTCTGGTGTTGTGTAGCACTGACTGCTCGCTGCTCTTTTATCAACTTCAGGAGTTTCATTTTCGACGAGGGTGTGGCGTGGCACAGTTTGAAAGTCCAGCTGCTCTAGATGCTAAGACAAGGAGATCACAAGTTGGGTCAGCTGGGGGGCAGTGCTGGCCCCACTGCCCAGGCACCTCCTGGGCTACATCGTGCTCCATGAGTGGTGAGTGGGACAGGCTGGGTGATGCACTGAGACCCTGTCTCAAGTTTAAAAAAAAACTGTCACGGGCTCTAGCAGAGCACTTGCCTACAGTGTAGGAGTCCCTGGATGCCATCCCACTACCGAAAAAGGGGAAAAAAGAGTTTCATCTTCCCCAGGACTCCACTCAAGCACTCACGCAAATATGTGAAAGTGTTATCTTCAACCAAAGATAGGGAACAGGTCCAGGAGATGGAAACCACCTGGAGGGGTGAGCGGCCAGAGCTCAGCAGATAGATCTGGGGGGATTTGGTGACGTGTTGTCAGGGGCACAGTCAAAAATCCCTAAGTTCCAGGCATAAAGGAGAAAAAGAAAGAAGCAAGATGAGATCGAGTGGGTGTGCAGGAGGACAGGGGGAGGGAAGGTGAGGGGCCAGCAGCTCCGGAGGACAGAGGAGCTCCAGGAACAACTCACAGCTCAAAGTGAGGACCGATGGCTTCCAACACAGGTCGACAGTTCCAACAGCCTCAGAACTATCACTCCAAAGCAGAAGTCAGTGACACATTCCCCCAACACTGAAAAAGAATGAGCCTGCTTCACCAGCCAGAGGTATGCAAGGTCAAAAATGCTCAGCCAGCCTGGCGTGATGGCGCATGCCTATAATCCCAGGAGTCAGGAGGCTGAGGCAGGAGGATCACTGCAAATTCCAGGCCAGCCTGAGCTACAAAGTGAGTGCAAGGCCAGCTTGGACTAGAAACTGAGAGCCTGTCTCAAAAAAAAAAAAAAAAACAAACAAACAAACAAACAAAAAAAGCACTCACTTATTCTAAACCAACAGGAAGCCCAAATTCATGTATGGAGGGGGCTGTTTGGAGACACCCAAAGCCAACTCAGTCTCTCACTCTACCTTCCTCCTTCCCTCCTTCCCACTTATAGCTGCCCCATTCTGAAAAAGGAAGAGTAGATGGATGGAGAGGGGTCTTAGCCTCTCCACTGTGGCCCTTGTGGGCTGGAAGTGTGTTTTGTGTTGTGTTGAGTTGTTTATTTCCCCGAGTACTGAGGGTTAAATGCAGAGAGCTAGCACCGAGCTAGGTCTCAAGATCTTTTCATGCTTTTGTTCTGAGACAGGCTCTCACTAAATTGCCTCAACTTGTGATCCTCCTGCCTTGACCTCCCAAATAGCTGAGATCATAGCTGAGACCTCCCAAAAAGCAGAGTTTTGATGTGAGGTTACAAGCGGAGTAGATTGCAAACTGGAAAATTGATTATTTAGAAGTCTCTGGAGATGAACAACTCCAGGCTGCTCTGGTGAAGATTCCTGCCTCCCACATCTCTGCTCTGCTCTCCTCTGGGTCACAGTGGGACAGTTCTTGAGACAAATAGCTAATTCCCTCCTGTCCCCATTGACCAGAACCCTGGGGGCAGCTCTCAGGTGGGGACACTAGATGTCTTTGATGCTTTTGAGCGGCTGATCTCCAGCCGGGTGACCTCCGTCCACCACTGGCGACAGTGTCACAGCCACATTTCCTGAGCAGGAGGCCTTGTCCGGGCACAGTGACTCCCTAGTGCCCAGGGGCAGAGGCGGGAAGAGTCACAGCAGTCCTCGTGCTGGAGTTTGGAGCTGCTCATCTAATCCAAGCTGGTCTGTGTGCCAGAAATTCAGGCCAAGAACCAGGAGAGAGGAGTCAGCAAACTGAGATGAGCGAGCGGGAATCCTGCCTGGCTCCCCATTCCCTGAGGCTGCCGAGCGGAAAAGGGGGCCAAAGCGCCCCCACCTGGTCAGAGAAAGGGGCAGGGTTGGACCATGCCCTGACCTGCTGCAGGCTGGAATCCACACATTTATATATACTTATTTACCTAACCGGAAAGGGTTAGTGTTAGGGACCAGAATCCATAACATAGGGGCTCAAGGACCCAAGACTGGCACCTGTTTTGCCCTATGGACTGGAGCCACGTGGAAGCTCTGTTTGTCCCCTGTCCATCTGTCCCCCCAGTCGCAGCAGAAAGACCCACAGAACTATGACATTCACAGAGCAAGATAACATCTGCTGGAGACGCTGTGATTCTTTGAAAGAACACAGCAGAAGTCCTGCTAGAGAGAGAGAAAAACAGGCTCTCTATTACCTGCTCCTGTTCTCAGGGGTATTGCTTTGTTACTAGCTTGCTCTGACCACCTCACGGCTCCGTGACATTGTCCCAAGCCCCCAGGACTTTTACCTTGCTAAAGAAAAACAGGGTAACCAGAGAGGACTTGGTTGTTGCTCAGTCTGAAGCACTGACCTCCCAGTCCACCTGAACCTGAAAATTTCTCTCTTTACCCTTTTTACACCCCTCAAGCAGGCAGCCAAGGGTTTAGCCAGCTCCCGGCTGGCTCAGCCTAGGTGCACCCCACCCCGCCCCTAACCATCATTTCCTCTCCTGAAAGCAATGTTAACAATTTCTTAGAATCTTCCAGGAGTATATTAGACTGTGTATACTTTTAAATTAGTTTCATTAAACTTTATATCTATGTCTAATATTGATAGAATAAGGGTAGGGTATAAGAAGTAATAATGAAACATGCAGGTACCAACAAATTAGAGGAAGGAAGAGAAAATAATCAAAGTCTAAAACAAGCCTTCAGTCACACAAAACCCTGTACACAAATGTTCACAGCAGCAGCGATGGTTAATTTTATGTTTCTGCTTAAATATCCCTCAATAAATATTTCCTACTCTAACCTTCATTGTTCCTAGAATTTATTCTTCGATTTTAGAGAACACACACTTGGCATTATCAGAAACCTAACATATTGGGAGTTATATATTTCCTTATATGTGGAGGTCCTGGTGTCATCACTGGGTCATTTTGGAGACCCAGCAAGATAAGTAGATGGAGATAAGAATGTACGTTTTTTTATAGATTCTGGGGTTTTTTTTTTTTTTTTGTCTTTTTCTTTTTTATCGGTATCAGGGATCGAACTCACGACCACACACTTGCAAGGCAGGCGCTTATGCCGCTGAGCTAAATCCCCGGCCCTTTTTATAGATTCTGGATTACAACTCACTTAGGTAATCAAATTGTCACCATTTTTTAATTGCTTATGTCTTGAATTTTAAATACTTTATCAATTTTTGGTCTCTTGTCTTTTGTTAAAATGGTGATAAATTTGAGAACATAAAAAGATCACAATATTTCTTTGATGAGACATTTTATTTTTGTAGGCAAGGTCTTGTATTCGTATTTTATATATGGTATATTTAGACTCACTTGTTTAACATGATTTACTAAGGAAAAATACAGACAGAGCACTACCTAGTGTAATTTAATACTAACTATAGGGTAAATTCAAAAAATTGCTGTAAAATGGCTCTTTTTATGAAATCTAGTTTATATTTAGAAAATACATATGCCTATTAAAAATCATGGCACCCTTCCATCAGTTAAAAGACAGTAGGTCAATGACCATTCTTTGTTTTTGTGGTGCTGAGGATTGAACTCAGGGCCTTATGGATACCAGGCAAATGATGACCGTTCTTAGGACCTGAGGGACAGCTTTCACAGAGATACTCTGACCCAATCCTTCTCTACACACTAGAGGAAACAATCAGGCCTGGTCTTCTTCAGTTTCCTTTATTTGGCTTTACTTCTAATTTTCCCCCCTCTTTGTACTTTCCTTTTTAGAGGAATGTAAAATTAGAAAGACCTCTAAACTGTTACAATCTTTTCCTCCTACTAAGTTAAGTCCATGGAAAATGTGTGTTTGCTAACATTTGAAGACAGGGAAGTCATCCTGAGGGACACATGCCCCATCTCTGGGTCAGACAAGAAATCAGGATTTTGCCCATCTAGGGGAACACAGTGGCCTGGCTTGGTGCTCTGGCCACGTCTCTTTCGGGAGACTGAAATGTTTAACCTGTGTCCACTGAGACAATGGACAGAATCGACTTCTGGGTGCTGTTTCCCAAAACACTACACTTAACGGGACCAAAACACATTTAGACTAAAGAGGCTTTCCAAACTTCCATTTATGTGTTTAAGAAAATACTTCGAGTTACGGCCTTTAAAACCTTTAGTGTAATGATCTTGCTCAGGCTTTTAACTATCCCTTATAGAACTCTGACAAACAGTGGTTACTCTGGCAGCTAATTCAATGCTACGGTAGCTGCAACTATTAAACCAGAGGACAGGTTTCCCCAGCATCTTTTTGGTGAAATCAATGGCCAACAAAATGTTGACCAGACAGACAGCTGGACTCCCTTGTGGAGACTGACCTTGGGTTATCTGGGCCAATAGAAACAGAATAACTGAGGGTTCATAGCCAGGGTCTGGCAGATACCCAAAGGCACTCAAAGATTCCTCAGTGGAAACTGGCTTGCAACCAAAGAAAACCTCCACTTACCTGTCTATTTATATATCTCTGCTAATAAATTAAAGATATTCCCTAAACTTTTCAGGCAATTAGACTACCTCTCCTCTCAGAAATTAGAGGTAGCCTATAACAGCTGTTTACATTTCAAAGACACTCATAAGGAATGATTTGCATTTGTGCCTTACATATGTTAACTAAGAAAAAGAAAAAGAAAAAGAGATTTTAGTCAACCAGTGTATAAAAGACTGATGTGCCTTTACTAACATGTAAAATGTAATTGCTAGATGATAAATATGTTTAACCTGTGAGCTTTAAGTAAAATATAGCTATGAGTCTGGGGATTTAGCTCAGCAGTGTAAGCACCTGCCTGCCAAGTACAAGGTCATGAGTTCAATCCCTGGTACAAAAAAAAAAAAAAAAGACATAGCTATGTCCCGCTATTAGGAAAGATTCCCTAGATAATTAGATAGAGGACACAAATGCCTGGGAGACTTTGCCAGAAGACTCTGGGCAGAGTTCCTCAAGTTTATTTGTTGTCTTTTTCTGTCTGCAGAAGGAATCTCCTTCACAGAACAGCCAGAGAAGTGCTCTAACT